AGAGCTCCGTGGATCGGCGCCACCAGCTCTACCGGCGGCACCAGGCAGCGCTGGAGCTCATGGAGCGGGACCCGGTACTGACCCCGCAATGACCCCACAGAGCCCATGGAGCCCAGAGAGCCTACAGAGCCCAGAGAGCCCACTGACCCTGCACTGACCCCACAGACCTCACTGACCCCACACTGACCCCACAGAGCCCACAGAGCCCAGAGAGCTCACAGAGCCTACAGAGCCCACTGACCCCACTGACCCCACAGAGCCCACAGAGCCCACAGAGCCTACAGAGCCCACAGAGCTCATAGAGCCCATAGAGCCCACTGACCCCAGAGAGCCTACAGAGCCCACAGACCCTACTGACCCCACTGACCCCACACTGACCCCACAGAACCCACAGAGCCTACAGAGCCCAGAGAGCCCACTGACCCCACAGAGCCCACTGACCCTACTGACCCCGCAGTGACCCCACAGAGCCTACAGAGCCCACTGACCCCACACTGACCCTACAGAGCCTACAGAGCCCAGAGAGCCCAGAGAGCCCACTGACCCCACACTGACCCTACAGATCTTACAGAGCCCATAGAGCCCAGAGAGCCCACTGACCCCAGACTGACCCCACAGTGACCCCACACTGACCCCACAGAGCCCACAGAACCTACAGAGCCCACTGACCCCACTGACCCCACAGAGCCCACAGAGCCCACAGACCCCACTGACCCCACACTGACCCCACAGAGCCCACAGAGCCTACAGAGCCCACAGACCCTACTGACCCTGCAGTGACCCCACAGAGCCCACTGACCCCACAGACCCTACAGATCCAGAATGGGATCAGACAAACTCCCTGAGCTCTCTGACCCCACACCAGACTGGATCCCACTCCCCGAGCCCTCTGACCCCACTCCCCAATCCCCAATCCCTCTCTCCCACCCTGATCTCTCCGATCTGACCCCGCTCCCTCTCCCACCCCGATACCCCAATCCCACCCCAATCTCTCCGATCTGACCCCGATCCCTCTCCCATCCCGATCCCCATCCCGCCAGGAGCGGGGTGAGCAGCTGCTGCAGTCGCTGCGGGATCTGGAGCTGCAGGGCCTGCAGGGGATGCGGGATCTGCTGGA